GTTTCTTCTTCTTCTTCTTCTTCTAAATGATATAAACTCCTCGTGACCCTGAACTACGACAGGACCTGAAGGTAGTTCATCCGGAGCTCTGAGGTGATCCTCAGGGTCAAAACAGGACCTGCTCCCTTACTTTGACTAAAACCACTTGGTGGGAACGAGGTTTGGTTTAGTTTGATTTGGTTTAGTCCGGTTTGGTTTAGTCCAGTTTGGTACGACTAACTCTGATCTTGTTTGTGTCTCCGCAGCCAATCGTACCCTTACTTGGTAGGCAGAGTTTAAGCCGGATAGCGATAGTGGCGTCATTACGTAATAGTGTGACATCATAGCAGTCCAACACGGTGCAGCCCGCCATAAATTCAAAGAAGAAGAATGTGACACAGTAAACAAAGGGCAACAATGGAGGACGTCCAGCAGAAGTCAGCACATCCAGAGTCGTCCATGGGGGCGGAGCTACACGCTGATATTAGTCACAAAAACAAAACCGCCTTGATACTACTCTGTAAATCCAGAGGAAATTTAAAAACGCATGTTTTGTGGTTGTTATTACCGCTGTCACACAGAAAATGCACACAGATCATGATCAATCAGCTGACTGCAGTGTGTCTAGCTCCACCCTTTAGGGTTGGATCAGGACTCTTTGCATTTTAACAGAAGGTCAGCAAAAAGTCGGACGGTACAGATTGGTTATTTGGTACCATTCAAAACTTTTGACAGAGGAAATGCCAATAAATGTGAATTGAACCGAGCCAGACTGAACCAGACCGGACTGAACAAGACCAGACTGAACCAGACCTGACTGAGCCACACCGGACTGAACCAGATCAGACTGAACCAGACCGGACTGAACCACATCGGACTGAACCAGACCAGACTGAACCAGACCAGACTGAACCACACCAGACTGAACCAGATCAGACTGAACCAGACCAGACTGAACCAGATCAGATTGAACCAGACCAGACTGAACCTGATCAGACTGAACCAGACCAGACTGAACCACACCAGACTGAAATAGATCAGACTGAACCAGACCAGACTGAACCACACCAGACTGAACCACACCAGACTGAAATAGATCAGACTGAACCAGATCAGACTGAACCACACCAGACTGAACCAGATCAGACTGAACCACACCAGACTGAACCACACCGGACTGAACCAGATCAGACTGAACCAGACCAGACTGAACCAGACCGGACTGAACCAGATTGAAGCGGACTGCTAGGTGGAAACGGCGTTATACAGCGCTCCAGAGTTTAAAAGAACACATCTGTGTACAGTTTGTGTTTATATAAGTTTTATTCAAATTACAGTTCATCTGATGAAAACATCAAATATACAAACATGGTTTAGGACAGCAGATCAAATGAATCCAGAGAGTTCAGTCGTTGCTGCGTGGGCGTTCGTCTCCCAAAGTTGTCAGGTATGATAAGAACTTGAAAGTTCTCCAGAAAAAAAGAATCATTTGATTCAAGTAACTTCATCCAACACAAAATCAACCACACCAGAAGTATCTACAAAGAGTTCAAACAGGCGACTTGGAGGGAAAGCGACGACTTCAACCACTGCTGGCTGCGTTCATTCCTGAGAAAAGGCCCGTTAAACATCTGCCTGCACGCGTTCAAGAACTATGAATGGCTGAGGAATTCTTTCATCTATAACCCTGTGCAGTTATTCATCCGAACAATTGGACTGCCGTGTGTCACATGATAGAAATATAAATAATACAATTCTGAATGTGAAGCTCGTACTCAGAGAGCCGGAGACACATTAAGTAATTCTAGGTACGGTGGCCTAAGAGAGCTAAATACACTAACACAAATGGGAAACCAATCGAAAAAGAAATAAATCAAGCTGTTTAAAAGTGCATGTTTTTAGTCGATTCATTGTGCGGCCATGAACAGATTAAATAAAAGGTCACCTGCATTCTTTCTAGTGTCCAGCAGGGGGCAGAATCAGTTTGTTTGTTCAGAAGTCGCTGATTAAAGGTTGAAGTATTCAACGAGTTCATGATCTCTGGACTTGAGTCTTGTTCAACACTGCGTGATGTCCATTTAGTTAATCATGGTCCAATCAGAGTAACAGAGACCACAAAGAGGGGAGGAGTTAGGGGGCGGGGCTACCTGTGACTCTCAGGTCACTACCATGGTAACTTTAAATATTTTGTTTGTTTGATTGGACTGAAAGAAGCTCCGAGGAGATGACTGTTCATGTTTTCATTAGTGACCATTTTTGGAGGAGTGAGGCCCACGTACGAGGCCGTAGGTCCAAATTCAGCCAATAGGGGGCGATCAAATTCTAGAGAGGAAGGCCAAAGAGGGGGTCCAAGATTCTGAGTCAGCGTCAACATTGGATGAAATGTTCCTCTAATCAGTAGAGGGATCTGAAGGAGCAGCCAATCAGGGACGAAGAAAAACAACTTAACTTTATCTCTTTTCACACTTTTGAATATTTGATATTTTAGGAAGACAAACATCGTCTTCCTGTTTGTAGATTCAGTTTCCTGCAGGTGTCCATTCAGTTTTTATTCTGTTGATTAAAATTATTTAAAATCTGAACGTGCACGAATGAAATGCAGCACGTACGATCAGAAAATAAGGAGATTTTAAAAGCGTTTCAATCAAGTGATCTTTGAACACAGCCGCTCAGTGAGCGCTGAGACTCTCCCTCCACGCCACCTGTGTTTATCAAAGACTAACAGTCAGGGAACACTTGGCAGAGAATACAAACATCTGATTGAAGTCTCAGGTGAAGAGAAAAGATTTGTAGGGAGACTACGGAGTCCCAGGAGGGCCAAAAAACTCAACTGTACTCTGAGAAGAGAGACTGATGAAAAAAGACAAATTCATAACAGAAGTAAGTATCATTAAAATTTGATTTAGTAAGCATTAAGTCCGATTGGATATTTTCACTTTATCCAGTTTTTATGTTTGTTTTCTGGGGAGGAAGACCCGCCCACGTCAGTTGATTGACAGCTCAGCCCTTTAACGAATAAACAAAAGTAATTACATTATTTTAAAATACATTTTACGACAATTTTTAAATGCCAAAAAAAACCCAACTAAGTAATTTAACAGTTATAAACATATAATGAAAATAAGTCACACGGTACAGAAGCCTGAAGAGGACAAACATCTGTTTAGTTTCCCTAGGATGATCGCTGACTCACCACGGGACTAGAGCGTTGTTATCCGGAGATAACGAGCCGAGACTGAAAATAACTGATAGGTGAATATTTATTACTGAAGCAGAATTTAACACGTTCAGATGTTTGTCCCTCTAAGGCCTCCTTACACTTTAATACTTTTAACTTATTTATTCATCATTCGTCTCTTTTCACAAAGCCACATTCATCTTCTCGTTCTTTTGACAGATTACTTGTCCCTCCTGTGACTCCGTACAGGAAGTATGATGAATCCTTTCAGTATAAAAGCGTGAATTGACATTCTTCTCTCTTTAAGTGGATCCCCACAGGAGGTGAGGAACATGTGGGGGGTAAACAAAGCTCCGGAGGTAGAGACCAACACACTGAGTCCTTTATATACATATTCACACAGTGCTCCTGTGATCCAGTCATCACCGACTACAACAATAACCCCTGACCCCTTACAACAAGGCTGCTGCTCACACTGATCTGTAACCGTGCTGGACGTCCTGCTGACGCCAAGGTATGCTCTGCTGCCCTCTACAGACGGTACAAATCATAAAGTACCGGTATATACATTTCTTTTGAAAAATAAAATGAACTTCACAGCCTTATTAGTGTGCAACTAAAGTGTTTACAGTATTTCTGTGGTGTAGCTCTGCTTCTCTATGTAACATATACACACTGTGAGGAGAACACATGCCAGGGCGGACACCAGGACCCCTAACATATAAGAAATCATTGACTTCAAAGCTTTTGTTGTCCAGAGACAGACAGCGAACATGTGAGGAGCAGACATTAGCAATGAGCTAGCATCAGTTAAATCAGGGTTAATGCAGCGTAAATGTGTGAGAAGCAGACATTAGCAATGAGCTAGCATCAGTTAAATCAGGGTTAATACAGCGTATGCTACTAGTTTCCTTGTGTGCTGAGCCGCGTCAAAGCATCTAAGATTGAGTGGCTCGACAGCTTTACAGAAGATCTGCTGGTTCTCAGTTTGGTTTCTTCTTCTACTGAAGTATTTTGTTCAGAACACTTGTTGAATCCAAAGAAGAAGAAACCTGGAGACGTGGGTTCTTTACAATCTGGGTCTGATTCTTGTCGTTCTCCTTTACCTGTCTGTTAAACAACTAAAACAACAAAAACATGACGAGAAGAATGCACACATTTTCAGAAACTCTAAAAACTTGATTTACACAACAAAACGACCTGATTGGATAACCACCAATGGTCTTTCTGTGCTTAAATCTTAATTTACATTAAAAATCATTAATAATTGCCAAGGACTCCTCTGTCTCCTTGTGAGGATCCACTTTGACTTAACACTACATGCAGATTTAAAGTTTTAATTAATAATAAACAAATAATTAACCTATAGATATCAAAGCGGAGACTTGTGAAGGAGCCGCAAACATCTGAGAGGAAGCCAGTCTCAGTAATGGCTGTCTTTCTGTTCGTCAGACCTTCAAAATAAAGTTAGACTGTAATTTAGGTTTCTCTGAGAGAAGCTTTTTCTTTGAAAGGGTCAGACTCAGACATGAAGGAAGGCTCTGTAACCAAAATAAGACCCAGATTGTAAATGTTTCTTTAAGACTCAATGCTCCAACAAGCTCGAACAGATTAACCTTCAAGTCCAACAGGAAGTCCAACAGGTGAACCTTAATTAAATAAATGATGAAAACAGGCAGCAGGAAGCTCCTCAGGGCCGAACCTAGCTCCCAGCTTGAAGTGTCATGGCCACCCACGGGAAGCATCAGAGGAGCTCTTCTTCTCTTTGTCGTTTGAACAGAATCCGAGACTGATTAAATTAAATTAATCTTTGTGTCTCAGGTTAGTGGAAATCCAAATCAGGGTCACAAACTAAAAACAGTTTGTTTTCTCTTCAGGAGACCTTTCACCTTTTCCACGTTAGCTGAGCGACAAAGGTTAAAATATGACGACACGAGTAACTTGAATACTGGTATAGAGAAGCCTCATGTATAAACAAAGGTTGAATCTCCTAGTCCAAGTCCTAGACATCAATACTGGATTGTTTTAATTCATGAAGGTAAACTGCAGCAAACCGTCTGAATTGCACAAACACATTGGCAACGTGTCAGTACTGAAAAGTTACCAATATCTGTGTACAATATCTCGCTCTAACACTCTCTCTCTCTTTGGCTCTAAAATATGACTGAATTTGAAAGCTTCTGTTCTTTTCGAACAATCGAGATTTTACCGTTTTAAAACATGTGGAATCAAAGTTCAAACATTTTGACATGAAGCATTTGGACATAAGGGGTTGGGTTTGGGTCAGGACATGAAGGGTCTGGGTCAGGACATGAAGGGTCTGGGTCAGGACATGAAGGGTCTGGGTCAAGACATGAAGGGTCTGGGTCAGGACATGAAGGGTCTGGGTCAGGACATGAAGGGTCTGGGTCAAAATATGAAGGGTCTGGGTCAGGACATGAAGGGTCTGGGTCAAAATATGAAGGGTCTGGGTCAGGACATGAAGGGTCTGGGTCCAAGTGGAAGGAAACCTCCAGGAAGAGTTTTCTTTAACAAATCTTCATATGTTTGTGTTGTTTATACACGGGGCTCCTCCTCTTTGGCAAATATTCGTATACAATTAAAAACAATGACCACAGGAGGTCATGCACAGGGACACAGGAGGATGTGCATGAGGACACAGGAGGCCATGGGCTAGGACACAGGAGGATGTGCATGAGGACACAGGAGGCCATGGGCTAGGACACAGGAGGATGTGCATGAGGACACAGGAGGTCATGGGCTAGAACAAAGGAGGAGGGACACAGGAGGTCATGCATGGGGACACAGGAGGTCATGGGCTAGGACACAGGAAGTCGTGCACGGAGACACAGGAGGTTGTGAACATAATAACTTCATTTTATAAATTAAGTTTTAATGTGCTCAAGTGCAAAATCTTACCAGAGGGAATTTCTCAATTGCCTTAAGCCTTCAAACACATTTACAATCGATTGTCTGAAGAAGAATTTGGATTTGATTCACCTGTGCAGGTGAGGGTGGGCGAGATAACACAAACATAGCCCGATTGTGATCAGAGATGTTCCAATACCCAGATTGACTTAAAATCCGGCTCTGAACCTAGAAAGAAACTGTAGGACACTTTTATTTATCATCTCTTTGAGATCACTAATGAATAAACGTGTGCAGAGGATCAGTTAGACACAGCTTGCTCGCTCGCTCTCTATGCCTAGCCCGCCCTCTCTCTCTCTCTCCCGCTCAGTTTTAGAGAGCCTCTACAAAAGCAGCAGCAGCTCAGCTTGCAGCCCCTCAGACCTGCTGTGTCCTGTGGGTCGAACAATGAAACCTTTTAAAAAGTGTCTGTTTCTTTTGTTTCCTGTAAGCACTGCTCTCTTGTTTGTTCACATCAGGTGAACGCTGACCTGACGACAGTTTCCGGTCTGTTACTCTGACTCTAGTTGAAACTGTAGTTGCAGAAAGCTGGAGGCAGCACAGAGCAGCTCATTGTGTGCAAGAAGAACTGAATTCCAGAGAAGCCAGTCGATTAAACTCTGTGTTAATAAATGATCTCTGATTGGTGCATAGACTCTTGTTCTCTCTGATCTTTGACCCAGAGGTTCAGGCTCCAGGCTGGTTTTGGTGTTGGAACATCTCTTACAAGTGGTCATTTTTAAATAAATATCTTTTTAAATTTGTATTAATATATATTTATATCAACAGAAACATACTTCATTAAGATGCACTAACAGTAAAACCTCTAAGTGATCAGATGGGTTCGTTTAAAACATTCTGATTTGGTCTACAGAGTTTAAGTCCCACCCTCCGCCAAAGACCTGCAGATGAGTCTCGGCAGACCTGCAGGTGAGTCTCGACAGACCTGCAGGTGAGTCTCGACAGACCTGCAGGTGAGTTGAGTTGTTTCAGTAGATGTGCAGGTGAGTCGTGTTGTTTCAGTAAACCTGCAGGTGAGTCTCGGCAGACCTGCAGGTCAGTCGAGTTGTTTCAGTAGACCTGCAGGTGAGTCTCAGAAGACCTGCAGGCGAGTCCTGCTCTCCAGTGAAATGCTACGCAGACGCCACCAGACGCTCTTGATCCCAGTTTAGCAGCCTGTCAGGAGAGACGCTGATGGCGCACAGCAGAGGTTATTCCCACACCAGGGGAGACGGAGGCATCTCAGATGGCTGAGCCACTGTGGAGCTGTGGGCGGAGACATCCGAGGGGGCGGAGTTAATACAAGTCTATCACATAACCATGTTCAGTAAAGGCCGGGCATATACTGTTGATTTTTAAAAAGGTCCTGGATGACTGTCAGCTCAGAGGGTGAAATGTACACAGTGTCGCACAACCACAGCTCGCGAATGATTGGCTCACACTGTAAAACTGTGGATGTTAAAGTATACTCATTAAATAAAGTATATCGTGTATATCGATAAAGTTTCCTTTACAAACTACTGCAGACTGAAGGTGTATGTGTGTGTGTATGTCTGTTTTCCTATTTGCAGGCAGAATCAGGAAAAGATCATCTGAATCAGGTGATTGGCCTGTGGCTCTGCTCTCCATGTGAAGGTGTGTGCTGTTGTCCGACCAAAACTCAAACATTACAGAAATTATTCCAACAAGTTTGGAGCTTGTCAGACCATGATTAGTTTCTGTGCCTCCCTAACCCTACACTCCACAACAACAACTAACCCTAACCCTTTCATTGGTCTGTGTCTGCCCGGCCTGTAGGTGGAGCTGTTGTGTGGTGCATGGCTGCATGCTGCATGGTGATCAGTACCTGATGAAGCTTTTGAAAGCAGCTGACTGAGGGTTGATGCAGAGAGGCACTCGACTCCCCTTCTGCTGCTCCAGAATGAACTGATGGATGATCTCTGTTAAAACACATAGAGCAACAACAGACTAAGAGAAACGTCTGGTTAAACAGTCCAATGTTCAGATGAACGGCCTCAATCACATTCATTAACAACTAAAACAGATGAGAACTCATGTTTAAGGCAACAGCCTGTTTTAAATCAGATATTCTAGATTGTATTTAGACAGACTGAAAAGGGGCACAGGAACCCCCTGGAGCAGGACTGCACAGCTCATCATGTGAAGTGGATCAGGTCCAAAATTACATTTATGTCATAAAACATGAATGTCATGTTAGTATGTGACGCTAGTCTCCAGAGGGAGATTGTAATGTCTAGTTATCCCCTGAGCTCTGTGCTGATCTGACCGCTCTGTGACCACTCTGTGCTGATCTGACCACTCTAATGTGAACTGACCTTTGACCTGCCTCACAGAGCTCAGGTTCTTCTCGAAGCCGTCATCAAACTTGGGGTTGGTCACGGGCTCGAAGTCACTGGTATAAACGCGGCCGGATGCCGTGGTGTAGCAGCATTTGCACATGCAGGTGTGGTATCTCAGGCGACCTTCGTCCAGGTACGGGTGAGCCAGGGCATCCTTCGCTGAAATCCGCTTCGACTGGACAACAAATAGGACAGATCAAGATTTACATCTAATACTGTGTTCATATCTTCAGAGGAGGAGTCTCCTGAGGTAAGACGTAACTTTAAAAAAATTTGCGGAGGAAGCATATGAAGCAGCAGAGTCCTTTACACGACTCTATAATGAGAATATTTGTCTATCTATCAATGCTACGTGTAGTTGAACAGAATCTCAATCTGAACTAAAGAGTGGAGAAGAACATACTGGAGAACAGGAAACATAATGCAGCAGGTTCATTAGAGCACGGAGATCGTAGAGGTGGCGTGCAGACAGTCTATGATCGTGCAACGATCACAGGGAATAAACGTCACCACCCCCTCCCACTCGCTCCAGGTGAATTCTCCTGATTATATCCTGCTTTGTTCTATCATCAGCTCACTCTGACTTTCTGCAGAATAAATACGAGGAGGCTGGAGGAGAAACTCCGGGTGAAGAGAGAAACATTCAGCTGTTTGTGTTCACACATGACGCTCAAAGAAAATAAAGAAAACTTCAGGAGGTTTGTGTGAACAAGGCCAACAGAGAGTGAGAGAGTCAGTGAGTGAGTGGGCGTCATTCATTACAGAAACAGGTCTATGTTTAGCAGGATGACTCACCGGATCAAACACCAGCATCCTGCAGAGGAGGTGGACCGCTTCATGGGTCGCCTGGCTCGACAGAGTGTAGAGAACAGGAAGTGACGGCTGCAGATGAGACAGATCAGACTGACATCAAATCTCTCTCAGACTAACCCTTCCCCCCCATCACTGACATTACAAATGTTCTGAATACATCTTCATCCTTGAAAAACTGAAGGAGAACCTAGGACTGTGTGTTGGTTATTTCTGCTTGCACTGGCTGAATCCTCCTGCTGCTGTTTCTGCTCCTTCATTACAGAATGATCTGAGCTCACCTGCAGACAGGTGCACACTGCTCACCTGTTTGTGAGGCCCTCTGAGGATGTGAGTGCGAGCTCCTTCACACGCCGTCCTCATTGCCTCCAGAGACGGCGTCCCTAATAGGTCTGTGATTAAATCCAGCTGCAGATACACACAGATACACACACACACAGACAGACACAAAAATGGTGGTCACAAAGTTGGAATCCTGAACTCTGATACTCTCACTTCCTGTTTGACATGAAAGACATTGATGCCTCGGGCATCTTTAACTGGTAAATTGCTGTTTTCCAAAAGTTGCAGGTAACTCTGCACTCGGAGGATACCTGCTGGATCGGGCTCTGGGCCTGGAAGAGGATCCGTCGGCCCAGCAGCTCAGCGAAGATGCAGCCCACAGACCAGATGTCAATGGAGTTGGAGTAGTGTCGGCTCCCCATGAGGATCTCCGGCGCGCGGTAGTACTGTGTCACCACTTCCTGAGTCATGTGGCGTGACTCGTCTGTCTCCTCCACCCGGGCCAGGCCGAAGTCACAGATCTGGAGGAGGGTCAGGTGTTAGAGGAGCAGCTTCATTCAGTCTCTCCCACCTGTTTGTTACTCATCAGTAACATGAGATGGTTCCCACACTGAGACCAGGACTGGGAAATCCACGTCCGTCTGTCTGCCTGTCTGCCTGCCTGTCTGTCTGTCTGTCTGTCTGTCTGTCTGTCTGTCTCATGTGGCATGTCATCCTGTTGCATGTTGCCCTGTTGGTCTGTTGCATGTTGCCCTGATTCACGTTGCACATACCTTGAGCACACAGTTGCTGTTGACCAGGAGGTTGCCAGGTTTGATGTCACGGTGAAGGATGCCAGCAGAGTGAAGATATTTCAGCCCTGGTGGAGGAAGATGACAGACTGTTACACAATCCTGTCTACAGGTCTCACTAGTGTCCAGCAGGGGGCGACCTCAAAGCTTTTATCATCAGTCTGATTGTAAACATGAGGAGGAGACGCTCAAACCTCGTAGGATCTGGTAGAGGAAAACTTTGGCGTGGTCTGCGCTCAGAGGCTGCGGTGAGACGATGATCTTATGGAGGTCACTTTGCATCAGTTCAGTTACCACATAGCTGACGGTCGCAGAGTTAAGGGTCAAAACAAACAAACAGAAAGTAATGGTTTCATCTGAGACCCCGATTGGCTAGAAATAAACTACAAACATTAATTAGAATTAAGAGGAAGATCTGATGAACATCTCATCTTCAGTCTCTGTTCAGAGACTGAATTCCCCCCCCGTTCTATAGAGGACTGTGTGTGGATTCTGTCCATCTTTTGTAGTTTCATATCTGGATCTTGTTCTATTCACAGGAAGTCCAGAGTCCTCCTAGGATCCTTTCAAAGTAAAAGGATACATTTCTTCAAAGTAGTCGATGTGTGGAGGCTGCAGCATGTCCAGAGCAGAGAGCACCTGAGGAGACAGTTACCAGCAGGTGTCACCTCACCTGTTCAATCACACACAACCTCTATATGCACACATGAACATGTATCACTCCCTCGCCGCCCGTCGACAGTGACGCCATCACTACTTACAGGATCAATAATAATAACAGCATGACATTCAGTGATCAATGCATGATGGGATATCTAGGCGGGATAGTGACTATTGGTCCTACACTATTTCTCACAATGCATGATGGGACTATAGAGGACACCTTTACTACATGGCGTGTTGACTGTAAAGAACTTAACAACTGATACAAGCAGGGAGTGTGTGTTGTAACCCTGCAGGCCTCCAGCAGGGCAGCAGGGGGAGCTTCAACATCCTGCTGGATGTCAAACAAGAAGGTAAAACCGTAATCTGACCCACAATCCTTTGCTCTCTAAAGATCTGTCTCAGACGTCCTGGATCCATATCCCTGGTCTAGGTTGGTCAGTTAGGTATTTCTGAGTACTTACATTTTCATGTTTGAAGAAGCACAGCATCTTCAGCTCCCGGAAAACCCTCTTACAGGAAACGAGGTTCTGGAAGACATTGGGCATCTTTTTGAGGGCGACTCGCTTCCCGTCCCTGGGATCCGTCACGGACCTGGCGAGGAGGAAACGCAGAAGACGAATTATGGAAGAGACAGACGCCCAGTCCAGCTTCTGCGTATCCACCTGTGTGTGCTAAACATCGCGTTACAGATGTTCAAAGTTTACCCAGTCACCACGGTTAGCTCCGCCCCTTCATGCAGCTCGCGCTCAGCTGCTGCTCGTCACATGAACACCGTTAGCAGAAGAAGAGGCAAGATAAGCATACTGAAGCTTCTTCTATAACAAACACCTTTATTTACATCCAGACTCTTCTCCACTGTTGCCATGACACCATGAATACGTTGAAACATGGCGAACATGGATGACCAGGTGAAAAGTGTCATCAGAGTGTGGACCACCACTCGCCCCACTGAGTTTATGACCCTCCTCACATGAAGCGTCAAAGACTGAAGAATGATCTGAACGACATCTCCATCACTATCATCTCAGTCTTAATAGACTCCATTTATATTGAATGTGTCTAACAAAGTCAGACCCCCCCCCCCCCCCCCACGTGAGGTCACATGTGAACAAACATCTCAGAGGATTTCATTGGCCGGCTGGCTGTCTTTGCAATAATAAACGTCGGTCGTTTCTCTTTTGATGTTAGTTCATGACATGGTTGTTATCACTGACGTATGCTAATGCGCTCTGTCACCGGAACGCCGGCCTCCATCCGCGTTACCAGCTACTTAACCCTTTTATTGAGGACACCAGGTCAAAGGTCATGAAGCATTCAGACAGCTGTGAGCTCACATATCAGTTCAAATCAACAACAAACTAAAAAGTGGTTCAAAGTGAGACTGGTGATCTTTTCAGCGCTCAGTGGAAGAAGGATCCGGTCCTGGTGAGGAACACAGCAGGTGGAGGTAAGACGCTTCAGCTCTGCACACAGCAGCCCCGACCTGTAACCTCCAGTGAACCTTTCAATTGGATCAGAGCAGGAAACAGATGGCAGCGGACTAAGATCCAAGCTTCAAGACGACAACACGCTCCAAACAGGGCTAATAAGCTCAGGCTCTCCAACAGGAGGAACGCTGAAGTCTTAGTCCTCCAGCATCAGGAGGGTCAGCCACATCTGCTTCTCAACAGTTTGACAACTCTCTATAGAAAGGTTGTGGTGTTGTACCCTGACATGTACAATGGGTACCCTCTTTCTCTTCTTAGGGTGAGAGCAGGTCTGAGATGTCTTGACTGACGATAACTGATCTGGAGTCTGTTCATCGATTCACTGACACTTCCCATCATCCCTGGCTGTGAGCTGTGTCAAAGCAACACTTCTGTTTTCAGATTTCAGACACATCAGGAAGGTTTGACAGATTCTGGACTTAACCAGGACTAAAACCCGCTTCAGAGACTCCAGAGTAAAGGGGGACCTGCAGCACCGCCATCTTGTCCTACAGTTTGAAATGAAACATCAAACCTTTGTAGGGTTCAAATGATTTCTTTCTTTTATGGGACGTGATGACGTTATGCTTTAATGAATAACTTTGCAGAGCAATGAGTGAAAAAGAAATACTTATTCTACTCCACTAATGCATGTCCACAGGTCCTGTTTGTGTGTGATTCGGACCTATGTGTGTTTCATTAATAAAGTATATCAATAAAAGAAATAAACATGGTTACAGCAGGTGATATGGTTTCATCACAAAAAAGGGAATGCACCTCACTGCTTGGAGCTGAGTTTATAAGAGTCAAAGCCGTCATGAGGGGACACATCTAGACTCCTGAGAGACTCTGAACTAAGGATGGACTGCTGCCAGAACTTGATCCTACATTTCCCATAATTCAACTTGCTCTAGCAGCTTTCATCACACATTTCCCGCCTCATGTTTGACACCACAGGAAACTGTTTCTATACAGATTGGTCGCCACAACATTTAATCTGCTCCCCTTTTTAACACGTGCTGCCACAATGCCTGCAAGCTTTCACCCATGTTTCACAGCTACTGCTTGTCTGAACGTTTTGCACAATATAGAAGTAGTAAAGTTGAAAGTTGAGCTTGCAGAAAACTTAAATACAGACTAACCAACAGATAAGATTCACTGTGTTCTGCAGAAGCTTCTTCAATGTTTACACAAGAGGATAATCACACACATTATCTACCAGACAAAAAGTCGGAGTTGATTCAGGTGTCAACACTCTAACAGGTCCCTTTACATATCCGAACATGTTAACTGGGATTAAACACCACAGGGTTAGGACTGAGCACGGCCCAATGGGCTGAAACACCAATGGAGGGCAGTGAACCTACCAGACGACCCCAAACGCTCCATATCCGATGGGTCTGTCGGGCTCTATGTCGAGCTGCTGCTGGAGGTGCTGCTGCTGCTGGTGCTGCTGATGGTGCTGATGGTGCTGATGAGCTTTGACAACAGCAGCCGCTTGAACCTGTGCGGGAGCCGCAGCCGCCGCCGGCCCTGGGGCTTGACCGGGGGCCGGAGAGGGGAAGTAGGGCTGCTGCTGGCCGGGGTTGAGCATCACCGCCGCCGCAGCAGCCGCCGTGGAGCCGTGCTGTTGGACCGTGTGGACGGCGGCGGCGGAACCAGGATGCTGCAGGTGATGCTGGCCCGCGTGGTGGTGGTGCATGTGGGGGGGCGGGAGGTGCTGCAGCTGGTGGTGGTGATGCGGATGATGGGCAGCCACTGCTGAGGAGCCTCCGTTGTAAGCAGCCATCATTTTTGTAACATTTGTAGCTGCTGTGCTGCAAAGAGCCATAAAATGATGCAGAAAGCGTCCAAAGTGATGATAATGGCTACCAGGCTGCAACACGACCACTACAGGAACATGTAGGAATCAGGTCTGGCCTTTAAATGCTCCAACAACAGCTCCTGTGGGCCTGCGGGGAGTCCCTCCTTATCATAATACCAACAAGGATCTGACCCACTTCCTCTAAATTAATGTCCCTGCCTGCTCACCATCAGACTGCTGCAGCCCGGGGCTCGTATCATGAAACAGAGCATCGAGGAACCCTGACGAATCAAGATAGTGAGCAGGAAACAACCCGCGCCCCCCTCTGTGAATGAACAGTGTTTGGCCCTAGAAGTCCCTCATGATGGAGGGGGCGCCCCCGTCCTCCTGATGAGCCTCAGTCAGATCTGTCACATGAGGGGCAGTGCATTCATCCATACACTTCGCTCCGGCTCTGGGGCTCCACACGGCATCTATCCCCCCCCCCGACCCGAGTCCACAGAGCCTCCCTGTAATCTCCGGGCCGTGATTAACGCTGATGATCCGGTGCAGAGGAAGTGTTTCCCTGCCCAGGCCACAAAACAACAGAAGGCCCCGGCCTCGGCTGTCCACCGCACTCACATATTATTACACCGAGACTCCGAGCCGAGCGCCCGCCGCACACTCACCCCCATCAGCCGGACACACACGGAGCTTCCAGCATGACCCACAACACGGGAGAGATACTCGAGGAGACTACTTCTATCCCCCATCGACAGCAGCCCGGTGTTCGGTGTGTGTCCTCCCCCGGGATGGAAACACCTCCAGAGAGGCTTAAACAGTGCGGGGAAAAGTGAATCCTGTTAATGCGGGATCAGTTCTCCTGCTGCTGCCAGGAGCTGGACCGGAGACGGCGGTGCTCAGCTGACAGCTTGGAGCTAATCTGTGTCCGTGTTATCCTCAAATCAAAACACCAGTCCGTCTCTCCGTCCGTGTCCGTGTCTCCGAGTGTCGGTGAGCCTGCTGCAGGGAGGAGGACGCTCCCCCGGCTGACGCGCTACTCTCGGGGCCCTCGCTGCTCCGGTGGAGCCGCTGACATGATTAAAGTGTCGGTCACACGGTAACTACGCCGAACAGTTGCTCCAACATGGTGAACAAAACCTCAGCTGCTTGGTGGTGAGAGTCTTACAGAGGTCTGATCCCGGACGACCCGGCTCTTAGAACCGACTCCTTGAAACGAACACGAAGGACCGGATATCACGTGATATCACTTCATTATTTTTAAAGAATAAAGGACGTAATGGAAGCTTTTAATACATTAAAAACAACTAATTCATATTTTAAGAACAAATAGGTGGTTTGATCTATGTCAGCTCTTTTGTAGTTTTTCTTTGCCACAGAACTACAAAAGTTACTGGTGACGACACGACTCACCTCTTATTCGTCTTTATGAGAACATTGATATCGCGCTATAAATAATCAAAAATTCAGGGAAATTATGAACTAGGCTATATTCTTAATTCAGTTTTTTTATGCATAGAAAATATATATAAACAGTTTAAATTGTATTTTTTTGATATAAGCCTATTTATATTAAATAATATTTATTCAAGTGTCATAAATATCCTAAATCTGATGAATTATTAAATCTAAAAGTTGTAAGTAAATACAGAACCGTGTCGGAGCTGAGAGAGCCAAATGAACCGATCTCTGAAAAGAGCCGAGACTCCCATCACAGGATTATACAGCAAGCCAATCAGATACAGCAACGCGATGACGTCACAGTAATCTCCCTGACTGTCAGCGCGTGCAGCCAGTGACGGCGCGGACTGCACAGAGAGCCCGGTGACGAGGTTTACCTTTAAATACCGTAATAACCTTGAAATAACAGCATAAAACCCCAGCAGACACCGCGATTACCGTAAATACTCGAATATGCGTCTCTGGTAACTTTACAAGCAGAAGAATCAAAGTGAAAGTAAGTTTTGTCAGGACCGGAAGTGCTGCCTCAGCACCCTCAGTCATAGTTAGAGAAGATGTGTGACGTCATTTAAAGCGTCTTATACACCTGTAAACTGCGAGAGATTTTAATATAACCAAATATTTGAAGGGAACTCAGAGTTGAAAAACTAACAATATACTCATACAATATGTAGGGACACCTGTAGTAAAGCTGCATGTTTGAACACTGATACTGACAGGAAGAAAAACAGGTGTAAGAAATGTCTGAAGTTTTTGTTAAATAAAGGCTAAACATTGACCCTCCTCACATTCTGACACGCTGCAGATTAAACCATAACTCAGCTTTTCATCTTTTACTCAGACCTTCTGATCTCAAACTGCTTTTGAATCACAATCTACACAAATTATAGATGCTAAGATGTATTTGGGGACTTTTTGAGGTTAGAATACCTCCCCAATAAAAGGACTTTATTAATCTTGTTCTTTCATCAGAGTAAGGGTTAACCCCCACCCACATTATTAAAAAATAAGCCCAGCCTTGTTGGGTCAGGGTCCGAACTGCTTCTCCTTTAATGCATGTCATACCTCTCTCTCACTCTGTCTGTCTGTCTCTCCTTCTCTGTCCTACCAACCAGCCAGTCAGTCCACCAGCCAGCCAGTCAGCCAGCCCACCAACCAACCAACCAGCCCACCAACCAACCAACCAGCCAGCCAGTCAGCCAGTCAGCCAGCCCACCAACCAACCAGCCAGTCAGCCAGCCCACCAACCAACCAACCAACCAACCAACCAACCAGCCCACCAAACAACCAACCAACCAACCAACCAGCCAGCCAGTCAGCCAGCCCACCAACCAACCAACCCACCAACCCACCAACCCACCAACCAACCAGCCAGTCAGCCAGCCCAACCAACCAACCAACCAACCAACCAGCCCACCAAACAACCAACCAGCCAGCCAGCCCACCAACCAACCCACCAACCAGCCCACCAACCAACCAACCAGCCAGCCAGTCAGCCAGCCCACCAACCAACCAACCCACCAACCAACCAACCAACCAACCAGCCAGTCAGCCAGCCCACCAACCAACCAACCAACCAACCAACCAGCCAGTCAGCCAGCCCACCAACCAACCAATCATCCAGCCAGCACAACCAACCAACCAGCCAGTCAGCCAGCCCACCAACCAACCAACCAACCAACCAACCAGCCAGTCAGCCAGCCCACCAACCAACCAATCATCCAGCCAGCACAACCAACCAACCAACCAGCACAACCAGCCAGCACAACCAACCAACCAACCAACCAACCAACCAGCCAGCACAACCAACCAACCAACCAACCAGCCAGCCAGCCCACCAACCAACCAACCAGCCCACCAAACAACCAACCAACCAGCCAGTCAGCCAGCCCACCAACAAACCAGCCAGCACAACCAACCAACCAGCCAGCACAACCAACCAACCAATCAGCCAGCCAGCCAGCCACTCAATCAGCCAGCCAACCAACCAGCCAGCGAGCCAGCCAGCCAGCCAGCCAGCCAGCCAGCCAACCAACCAACCAACCAGCCAGCCAGCCACTCAACCAGCCAGCCAGCCAACCAACCAACCAATTGTTTCATAAAAGAGGTTCTTAGGATGAGTCCATGTAAATAAACAGTGTCTAACAGTTTGCAGGTCATTTTCTAACCTTGACTCTGTGCATCTTCTCTTTGAGTCCTCAAAGCATTAGGCCCAGAAGATTTAGATGTTGCAGAATGGTGTTACTTACAAGTACAGATCATTAATGGGGATAGAAAGGATAAAACAAATACATTCATGTACAGTACCAGAGGTAGGCCGCCCCAGTCGAAAGAGTCTGGACCCACTACTGCCTGTAATGTGTTTTTTTTTTTAATTGATATGTTACATTATTTGTTTCCTTCCAAGACTTAAGTCAGCGTGTAGGACCTCAATGTGTTACTGCATGTGTAGAGGTTTGTGCGAGAGGTTTATTTTGAAAGGTCCGGCCGGTTGTCTTCCTGTTTTCATGCTATCTGAGTTGACAGATTCTACTCCTGAATAGTCTGTCCACTGATTGCCACGTCGAGCTCAGAGGAGGACCAGCGGAGTTTTAACTTGCTTTACTTAGTTCTGTGTAACCGGTCCGGGTCCAGGACTCCGGGAGAACACCTGCAGAACCTTCCAGAACAGATCCCAGCTCAGCTCTGCCTGTAAGTTTAACTCTGTGTCGGCTTTAAAGTAGCGTCAGCAGTTTTCAGTCCTCGCTGCAGCTCACGTTTCAGAAAGTTAACCAGCTTCAAGTGCTGTCGGGAAAATGACCGAGGGAGGCAAAGTTCACCTGACGGCAGCTTGAGGCACCTGAAGGCCACAGGTGGTACTTAAACTCTCAGAAATAAAGCCACAGGTTGGACCTTTAACTGTGCAGAAATAAAACGACCAACGTAAGCAGTATCCTGATGGTCGTAAAGTTTGTCATGAATATCGTGTTTAATAAAAACATTCTGCTGGTTGGTAACAAGTTATTACTTTACAAACCAAGTCTACAGATCAGCTCACAGCGGTGACATCATGATTTATTAAGTTTATTTTGTCCCTGATGATTCTAAAGATCGTGAACAAACCTGAGAACTACTTACAAACTTCGTTAGTCCGAGCATCCAAGGAGCCCGTGAACGCATCACCAGTACGTGCTATCTGACCATCGACAGGAGGAAGTTGTGTTTACTAACCTGGGGGGGAAAGTGGCTCTTTTCAGTGAATAGTGGCACTGGTGGCACTGGTTTTGGTAGAATACTCTATTATTGCAGATTTCCGAGGCAGTGTGTTTCGTTAAATAGGATAAACTTTAAGATGCTCCGAGTACAGACGCACTTAATATGACATCATTCGCTGCGTTTGCACTGTAAGGAAAGGTGAACCATGTTTAGTCCACATGAAGCCAAGGCAGAAGTGTGAAGTCCTGCAGTTCCTTCAGGGTCGCCCCGATTGACAGGCGGGCTCACATCGTGAAAGAGGCGTCTGTAAATCAGTGAATACTTTTTTAAAGGAACATCAAACACTGGATAACCCTGTTAACGTCATCAGGTCCTGAAAGTCAGAAAATACAGTTGAATCAGAATAAAGAGACCAAGACTCGCAGTGATCACGCTCTGTGGACCCAGTAACGCTGAAGGTACGGGTACTTTATAGTAGAGGAACTTGGGCCCCTAAAAGTTGAGATACCCCTACCCGAGGTAGGACAGACAAAGGGGATTCCCAGGGGATGTTTAGTGTGACACAAAGGTTTTTAGTTGCAAGGTGTTAAGCTCTCAGGTTCGCAATCATTTTGTCTAATAGTGGAAATCATGCTTTGTAATTAGCATTTAAAATCAAATGTCATTATATATATAATGAGGTAAAATAAATGTATAAAGAAGTTTCTTATAAACATGTTTGCATGATTGTTATCCTAATTCACCTCACACACATTTAAACCATCATAAGAATTGTTTTGTATCCCAGCTCCATTGGTTGCCTGATAAATCATTCAACAAAAATAGCTATTGTAGCTTTTTTTTAACACTTTATCATACTTAGGGTATTATAAAAACTATCCCTTCATCCAGTGTATCCTTTGGAGTAACTAGGGTTCTTCTTAAAAGCAGGAGATATGGTGACTACACACCATCTTTATATGACTGAAATACATTTAAAAAAAAACTACAACAGGCTGTATGGGCGATATACAAATAGACTATATGAAGTATGTTTAATTTCTATGAACTCAAGGTTATATATATCAATACTATTTTTTAGTTCATTAATATTTCACAGCTGATGGCAAGACAATTCTTTAATTTTTTAGAATGAAATAGAAACTATGTCGTAGGTGACAATATTGTTGAAAGCAGAGGGTTAACTCTGAGTGTCATCATATAAATCATATGTAAGATAGAAAGTATTAGGAATAACTATAAAATGTTTAATTATATATATATATATATATATATATTACGGAATACAGTTATATTGTGTCTTGTTGTTAAGTCTTAATCTATTGTTTGTGGCCACCTCCTCCCACATATCCATAGGGCCCCATTGTACCAGGTCGCCCTGAAATCCTGGCTGCACTAGTTTCCTGTTAGGGGCTGGTGACAGCATAGGGTCAAGTGAAAAGTCAAATAATTTGCTTTTATGTTGAGATAACAGTTTAAAGAAGATAAAAATGACATATTTTAATGTTTGGTGTCCTTACTTAAAAAATGACAGACTTTGATATACATACCTTTTTGAATTTTTGTTTCAATTTCCGCCTAAACTACTGTGTGTTTAAGTGTGAAAAATTCAAAAATTGATAAAACTTTGCATAATTGAAACTAATAACTATCTGTGAACATCCTGTCCAAATTTGGTGAAATTCTGATTCCCAGAGATACATGTGATAAGGCTAGAGCTGTCCCATTTGGAGAAGCCCTAATTTGACCTATTTTCGTTTTTTGGTAAGATGCATAAAACATCCCAAAAAGTTATTTTGCAGTAAAATACAACCATACAACCATCCGTTTCATAAACTAGACATGTTCAAGTTCTGAAAAAATATGGTGATGCTTTGTTCTACCTCGGGTAGGGGTATCTCGAAAAGTAAAGCCTTTTTGGGGGGTTTGTTCCTCTACTGTTACACACAGACTGGTTTTATTCTATCGCAGGACAACGGTCGGGTTGAAGTCGGGGATGAATCAGTCCGTTTAAGTATTCACATGAAACTAGGCTACATTTTATACAGGAAGTTTTATACAAGCAGAAAATCATGCGTGTGCGTGCGTGCTTCAAACAGCTGCTAGTCTCCGTGAAGCCACTAGATGGAGCTGTAACCACACAGCAGACCAGTTAAAACTGATGACGTCTTTTTTACATGATGAGATGTAAACGCCAGTGACATCAAACCTCAGGAAGACTTCACCAGTTAACGTCAGAGCAGTGAACCTAAATCATGATTTTAGGATCGGGACTGAAAAATGAAGCTGCTATGACACATTCTGCACGTGTTACCTTGATGTGTTCAGGTGTCTCTTCTTAACCCAACACTCCGCACGTGTTACTGTGATGTGTTCAGGTGTCTCTTCTTAACCCAACAATCCGCACGTGTTACTGTGATGTGTTCAGGGGTCTGTTATTAACCCAACAATCCGCACGTGTTACTGTGATGTGTTCAGGGGTCTGTTATTAACCCAACAATCTGCACCTGTTACTGTGATGTGTTAGAGGTCAGGGTTAGGACAGGGTTAGCACTCACCCTCATGTACAACAGTCTTCCTAACTGAGGGGTTTCTGTTTCGCCTTCAGGAGTTTGGATGAGGGGTCGTGATTGGTGTTTTGAGTGGGGGGGTCAGGGTTTGGATGGGGGGTACAACAGTCAGTCTAACTGAAGGGTTTCTTTGACTCCTTCAGGCTCCTGTGAGCGCAGTGAAGACTCAGCGAGCCATCTTGGAGACATCATGAGGCAGCTGAAAGGAAAAGCCAAGAAGGAAACATCGAAGGACAAGAAGGAGCGTAAGGCGGCCATGCAGGAGGCCCGGCAGCAGGTGGCCACCGTCGTCTTGCCCACGCTGGCCGTGGTCGTGCTGCTCATCGTCCTGTTTGTCTATGTGGCCACGAGACCCGACGCCATGGAGTAAAGAGCTACTCAAATAAAGATGATAACTGTCCAGCTGAGTGGTGTGTGACAAAGGATATGAACCCTCCAAAGTGTGTTTCTTTGCTTTAAGTAGCTGCAGAAGAAGAAATGCGATGGAGCAGAGAGACAGCTGCTCGGCCGGGCTGTCAGGTGAAGAAGACGTCCAGATTCCTCCTGATCACGTCAAAGCAGCCGTCGATACACGGTGACGTATTTAATAAAGACGCAATATTATAAAAACCAAAGACTCGAGCACCACCGCCACAAGTGACCAGAGAGGAGAAAGAAACCTGTGTGTGTGTGTGTGTGTGTGTGTGTGTGTGTGTGTGTGTGTGTGTGTGTGTGTGTGTGTGTGTGTGTGTGTGTGTGTGTGTGTGTGTGTGTGTGTGTGTGTGTGTGTGTGTGTGTGTGTGTGTGTGTGTGTGTGTGTGTGTGTGTGTGTCTGTGTGTGTGTGTGTCTCTCTCTCTCTCTCTCTCTCTCTCTCTCTCTCTCTCTCTCTCTCTCTCTCTCTCTCTCTGTGTGTAACTCGCGGTGTTCACTCTCGATGATGTTGATGTGTGATCGTGTTATAAACTGTGCCTTCACTCAAACTGTACCCGAGTTGTTTCAGCTCAATAAATTAATTTTGAATGTTTGTTTGTGTCATTCATACTTTTACTCGTCTCTAGAAAACAATGTGATCCGTGCTCGCTGTATTGTAAACTGCGGTGCCCCTGAAGTCCCAAAAAGGAGGACAATGTTTTGTTTGTGTGCAGAAGATCTTAACTTTGTAGGACTTCAGGGGCCGTGTTGTGTAGGGGTGAAATGTGAAGAAGTTCTAAGGGCCCATGATTGATGAAGGCCCAAAAATCTTAAATGTTGTATTTTTTTTACTTTTAATTTATATATCAGTTTATTTATCAGGCATAACATATACAGGCATCGTCACTTCTCATTAAAGTGTTACCTTTGTGTTCAGAACAGGTCTGATCTGCAGGCCTCACCCCTGGTTTGACTTTTAGACTCCTTATGTTTAAAACCCTGCAGCTCTGCTGTCCGTCACAAACATGTTTTTATTTCAAGTTGAACCTCAGTCCAAAGACATCTCATCCCCTAATAAACCAGCAGCAGGCGGAAAAGCCACAGAAGAAGGAGCTGGAGCAGCAGGAGGAGGAGGAGCAGGAGGAGGAGGAAGAGGAGGTGTGTTTGTGTGTGTGTGTGTGTGTGTGTGTGTGTGTGTGTGTGTGTGTGTGTGTCACTGCAGCGAGCAGAGCTCTCCAACACCTCCCATCACTTTCTGTGAACAAGACTTCCGGTGGTGTGTCATGGCGGTGGCATGGTGAATCCTGCAGAAAGGGAAAAATACTTGCCCCTCTTGTCCTCTGCCACCCACCCCGGACACACGTTCATGCGGAAATAAGCCCTCCAGCTGCGGCCTCGTACCTCGGATCTGCCGGCGCAGCTCTGCGGTTCCCCCCGCGCCGACATGGCGGCTCACAAGCCCGTGGAGTGGGTCCAGGCCGTGATCACCAGGTTTGATGAGCAGGTAAGAGGGGCTGAGTCCGGGGATGGAAGGGTGTAGCAGGTTTCGGGGGTCTCCGGGCCCCGGTACCGGCGCTGAATTTACAGTAACCCAAGTTTGGTGTTTAATCCCCGGGTTCGCTGTGGATCATCCCGAGCAGGAAAGAACTTTGTCCGCTTTTTATTCGCTAATAACGAACACTGAAGATGGCTCTGTCTGTAAGCTAGCGCCGTCTGTACGATCAATTAGCTGATTTATCCCCCCTCTGTCCCTGGATTTAAACACAAACACGCGAGGATTTCTACAATAAAACACAATAAAGCATCTCAGCAGAGACATTTAAATATAAAACATATAAAAACTGTGAGTGTGTGTCCGTTAAAGCTCCTAAGACAGCGCTTTGGATCATGTCAGCTAGCATGCTAACATTAGCATCAGGCCTAGCCTTCTAATGTAAACAAATAAGAAGTGACTGTGTCAGCACCGAGGCTGTGATCATGCTGGGTTTACCTCTCACTAATCCTGCTCCAAATGACGTAATGTCTTTACCTGTTTCAATACCACGGACACTAAATGTTATATACAGTCACCTAATGTTGGTTAATGTGGTGTTTTTACACTGTGTACAGGTGTGTCCTCTCAGACTCACCTGTCCTTTTAGACTGTATGTAGGTGTCTTCTTTGGCTCACCTGTCCTTTTAGACTGTGTGTAGGTGTGTCATATCAGAGTCACCTGTCCTTTTAGACTGTGTGTAGGTGTGTCCTGTCAGACTCACCTGTCCTTTTAGACTGTGTGTAGGTGTGTCCTGTCCTCTCAGACTCACCTGTCCTTTTAGACTGTGTGTAGGTCTGTCCTTTTAGACTCACCTGTCCTTTTAGACTGTGTGTAGGTCTGTCCTTTTAGACTCACCTGTCCTTTTAGACTGTGTGTAGGTGTGTCCTCTGAGACTCACCTGTCCTTTTAGACTGTGTGTAGGTCTGTCCTTTTAGACTCACCTGTCCTTTTAGACTGTGTGTAGGTGTGTCCTGTCCTCTCAGATTCACCTGTCCTTTTAGACTGTGTGTAGGTGTGTCCTCTGAGACTCACCTGTCCTTTTAGACTGTGTGTAGTTGTGTCCTGTCCTCTCAGATTCACCTGTCCTTTTAGACTGTGTGTAGGTGTGTCCTGTCCTCTTAGACTCACCTGTCCTTTTAGACTGTTTGTAGGTGTGTCCTGTCCTCTTAGACTCACCTGTGCTTTTAGACTGTGTGTAGGTGTGTCCTGTCCTCTAAGACTCACCTGTCCTTTTAGACTGTGTGTAGGTGTGTCCTGTCCTCTTAGACTCACCTGTCCTTTTAGACTGTGTGTAGGTCTGTCCTTTTAGACTGTGTGTAGGTGTGTCCTCTTAGACTCACCTGTCCTTTTAGACTGTGTGTAGGTGTGTCCTGTCCTCTTAGACTCACCTGTCCTTTTAGAGACTGTCCTTTAAGAATGTGTACAGGTATGTCTCTCAGCTGAACTGAAGTCTTTCTTTAACACAACACTGCAAAAGTTAAAAGGACTTTTAAAACCAACATGGACAGTCAACAGAAAATATTCTATCCCTCTTAGTTTTACACCTGAACCACAGCCAGGAGCAAATGACCACAGGTGATCTAACAAAGGTGTCAAACAAGTAAAGTTCAGGTTGTGCGTCAGATGCTTCGGATGTATTAATGAACCAAACACTGGAGAAGGAGAGTCGTAGTATCGGGCTGCGCCCAGAGAGAGAGGCTTAATGCAGTAAATAAGCTCCAGCAGCACTCGTAGCAGAAAGATCAACTTGATTAACTTTATTAGACCGACACGCTTCAGGCTTTCATGACCCTAATAAAGGTCACAACCTCACACTGGGGGATTTACCTGAACCTTGGTTTGCTTCTCCTGTGCTCATGGCCACCATAAGCCACGCCTACTTACTGAAGGACGTAGTGTTTATGTTTACTGCTTGTACCTTTACTGAAAGCCCACCTTCCTGTCAAACAGGAAGCAGACCAACTCCATGGGTCTCTGGAGGAGCTTGGTCTTTGGAGGTGTTTTGTCTGTCTGGAGGTGTTTGGTTCTCTGGACATTTTTGGGTCTCTTGGGGTGTTTGGGTCTCTGCTCTGGAGGGGTTTTGGTCTCTGGCGGGAGTTTGGTTCTCTAGAGGTGTTTGAGCACTTGGGTCCCGGGTAAGTCTCTGAGGATCATGGACTTCAGATGGGTTTAGTGGATTAGTTGTATTACTACCACTGGTTTAAGGTTTTAAATCTACTTCCTGGTTATGATTAGCCTAATCCTACGATAAATCCCTCACAGTCACTTTACAGTTAACGTCCAGGTTCTCTTTTCAGGGTCACTCAGTCAGAGGTTCTGGTACACAGAGTTAGTAGGGGGCTGGTTGAGGCCGCGGTGTTTGGCTGAAAGCTTCAAGTAGAGCTGCACAGATGTCTGACACCAAACCAAGTCATGAAACAAACATTGCTATCAGCCCTGATCAGTGCGTCTCTACTTGGCGTCCAACATTTGGTCATTCTGTTGGTTTCATTCATGATCAGTTATAAATGAGGACTCCTGCGTTGGTATAATGTACACTACAGCCGGACAGCTGGAGTGCCAAGACCAAGGAGTTTCTGCGGTAATTTTCCACATTCACTCATGACAGCGTGACATAATCCGCTGTAAGTGGTATAAAAGAGTATAAAACACATAAACAAACACACTTAGGTCGTTGTTCTGAACCGTCTAAACAGAGTCTTTTATTCTGAAAAGAAACAGGATGTTTTGATGTTGTTTCGGTGTCTGACTTCCCGTCCCGCTTCCCTCTTTTCTCTGCTAAATTGATGCGCCGTGCTCCAGTTAAAATAGAAGCCTCCCAGCTCCGGACTGCAGCCTGGCGGAGCCAGTGGAAGCACACACATTGCAGTATTTCCCACAGAATGACACAATATCTGGGTGGTGGAGTTCGGGGGGGGGAGTAATTTATAATGTTAATATTACATTTGTATTTATATCAAATACGTTTCTTTCCTCTACATTAATTTAGCAGCATGTGAGATGACAGATAGATAGATAGATAGATAGATAGATAGATAGATAGATACTTTATTGATCCCGAGGGAAATTCAAAGCATCCAGTAGCAGGTTACAAAGACGTACATGACATGAAACATTTGTTACCAATTAAACCCGCAAAACCGACTTCCCCCTCCCATACATATATTTTAACCTGAAAAAAGATTTAAAGAATACCCCTAGATGAAAAAAACTTAAACTGTGCAATTAAAAATAGACGTATACAAGAAATGTACATAAAATATATGTGCAATTAAAACAAGAACCTATAAACAGTTGAGGAAAAAATCTGTAATTAGACCTGAATATAAAAAATAAAAAAGTGTTGACCTTCTGAAGTTGTGTTGTTTATATACAGACGTTGCTATTGTTAAGTCCGTACCTAATATGTAGCCTACAGTCTGTTATCCGTACGGATCAACTTTTTGCTGTTGACTAAAAGTAAAAAGATACGCGTGGTGGCTGGCGCTCCAGTGTGTGTATGTGCGTGCGCGTTAAGCAATGTACTGTATGTTGGTGTAGCTCAGCGTGCCCTGCGATGCTCGCAGAGAGAGGAGCAGGTAAAGTAGCTGCAGCTACATCTAACACGCTTCATACTCATAGCGTGCCTGCACTCTCACACGCTCCCTCTCTCTCTCTCTCTCCCACTCTCCCACTCTCGCTCTAGTGCCCGCAGCAATTTTATGAATACAACAAATGAATCCGTGGCGGTCCTTGTCGAGAATCGGATGAATCAATGTATGGGAAACACTGCATTGAAAATGAAGCTCTGCTGCCGTAACGGAGCGGAGACGGACTGAACACGCAGAATTTGGACGTTAGTGTTAAAATGTGATGAAGATGTTTTAAAGCTTCAGTTCTTCTGACTCTGCCGATCATTGATGAACTGAGGTTGTGTCGGGTTATTCAAACACATGGTGTCAAACGGTCAGTTTGCCATCTTATGGTAGACTCGGTGGTCCAAGCAGATTTTCATGAAGTGGCTCAAAGGTCCAATGAGGACTTGTGGACGGGCACAAAGATTCAGAGACAGCAGAGCGGCGTGCTGGTCCATTTCCTGTTTACATTCTGGCTGCCAGCTCTGTCCGAGCCGGATCATCTGCCATAAATGACATGAGTGTTCCTGACAACGCGAGGAATGTGAGCCACGCAGTCCGACCCTTGAAGACACACTGACGTTTCTGTTCAGCTGTGCATTGATGCTCAACAAAAAGTCAGTTTCTATAAATGTTCAGGGCGTCCAAGACCACTCCACAGGACCAGGATCAGGGTCCTTAGAAGTCCACTTCCAACAACAGGGTTAGTCTTGTTTTAAATCACCTGACATTGTCAATGAATTGAGTATGAGTTCCTCTGAATCACAAACCAACTCAGTTTTTAAAGCCTCAGACGTTTAACTGTGAACTCTGATAAAGAAAACATGGAGCCCCGAGGAAAGAGGCTGAAGGTTATCTTCAAAATGAATATGAAATACAGGGGTCATAGGTCTTTAGTCAATCACAGCACAGGGGTCAAAGGTCATCAGAAGGATCACAGTACAGGGGTCATAGGTCTTTAGTCAATCACAGCACAGGGGTCAAAGGTCATCAGAAGGATCACAGTACAGGGGTCATAGGTCTTCAGTCAGTCACAACACAGGGGTCAAAGGTCATCAGAAGGATCACAGTACAGGGGTCATAGGTCTTCAGTCAATCACAACACAGGGGTCAAAGGTCATCAGAAGGTCACACTACAGTGGTCATAGGTCTTCAGTCAATCACAGCACAGGGGTCAAAGGTCATCAGAAGGATCACAGTACAGGGGTCATAGGTCTTCAGTCAATCACAACACAAGGGTCAAAGGTCATCAGAAGGTCACACTACAGTGGTCATAGGTCTTCAGTCAATCACAGCACAGGGGTCAAAGGTCATCAGAAGGTCACACTACAGGGGTCATAGGTCTTCAGTCAATCACAGCACATGGGTCAAAGGTCATCAGAAGGTCACACTACAGTGGTCATAGGTCTTCAGTCAATCACAGCACATGGGTCAGAGGTCATCAAAAGCATCACAGCACAGGGGTCAAAGGTCATCAAACGCATCACACCACAGGGGTCAAAGGTCATCAAAAGCGTCACAGCACAGGGTCAAAGGTCATCAGAAGTATCATAACACAGGGGTCATAGGTCATCAGAAGTATCATAGCACAGGGGTCATAGGTCATCAAAAATATCACCACAGGGATTATAGGTCATCAGAAAGATCAAATCACAGGGGTCATAGGTCATCAAAAATATCACCACAGGGATAATAGTTCATCAGAAGGCTCACAGCACAGGGGTGATAGGTCATCAGAAAGTTCACATCACAGGGGTCATTAGGGATGTAAAGGTACACGTACTCGTACCGGATCGTTTCGGTACAGGGTTTTCGGCACGCAGACCGATCCGAGTACGCACGGAACAGAAGTTCTTTAATCTGTGTTCCCACACGGACCGCAAAGCGGAAGCACACCGTAACTTGTAAAAAGTTCAAACATAAACTGTAAACTCTGCAGATTAGTAGTTCCTCGAGCCCTGTCGGTTTGGACAGTTGCATATAACTGGGATGGAGTTCATTTACGGACTTACTGAAAACTTTCGTTTTCATTTTCAGCGATGATCCCGCTCCAGCAGCGCTGCTGCGTGAAAGGGGAGACACGTCTGTGTGGGAGAATAACCTGCAGCTTGATAGAATGAACACCCTCCCTCCCCAACAGACAGCCTTTTGCTAGTAATTCTGAACGGGCCAAAGCCACAACAAATGCCCTTGAAGTTTTTATATCAATAGAGGGAAATATTAATAGTTCTGCGATGAAACTGTCCCAGATGTGATTAGGTTTATTATGTGCTCAAAGGGCATTCAAAAAAGTGTTGCCTTCATAAACTAAAAGGTGTCAGTGTAATTTAAAAGAAATAATTTTACATTAGGCTATATTAATTACTTAATTTCATTCTAAAATACTTTATTTCATTCATATCTTTTATTTATTGGAGACTCTTTTGGTTGAAGGATGCAGCATAAGTTCATTTTATGTTTTTTTTTGTGCAATGTTTAATGTAAAATGTTATTAAAAAGTAACCTGAGCAGGTGTACAAGTCTGAACTGTCGATGCTGCTAACTTAGCCCAATGTGTAAAAGGGAAATTCTAAGTGTTCCTAATAAATAAATAAAAAAGTGTTGCATCAGGTCCCTTTACGAAAATGTACCGAACCGAAGCTTCGATACTGAGACTCGTACCGAACCAAAATGTTTGTCTACCGTTACACCCCTAGGGGTCATAGGTCATCAGAAGTACAGGGGTCATAGGTCATCAAAAATATCACATCACAGGGATAATAGGTCATCAGAAGGCTCACTGCACAGGGTCATAGGTCAGTATATCCTGCTATATCATGGGAGCAACGTGGGGTTAAGTGTCTTGTCAAAGGAAACATCCACATGTAGCTGCGGGATCTGGAGATCGATCCCCTGACCTTTCAGTCAAGACGTCTGACACCACTGATCCACAGCTGTCCCTGATAAATTTACTAGCTTTGATTGGAGCATTGACTGGCGTACTGGTTTGTATCCGATACCTAACATCAGAGGTGTTTCCAGAAACATCTGGAGTTGTTAAGCGTTTGCTTGTTCTCAGCATCAGAACACACTCAGCGGACCATTTATCTAAGGAGTAGATGTTTGGAGTGTGGGATCAATTCTGTGAGGCAGAGCTGATCTGTTAGCTTGTAGCCGAGGAAAAAGGCTGAGCAGAGTCACTCAAACGTTCACTCTGTTACTGCTGGAGAACTGGAGCTTCAGATGAAGGTCGTTTCTGATGTGAGGTCGAACTCGGTATCACAGCCTGACCGTCCTCTCTTTGTTTCCTCCAGCTTCCCATCAAAGTGGGACACCAGAACACTCACACCAAAGTCAGCACCGAGCACAACAAGGAGTGTCTGATCAACATCTCCAAGTACAAGTTCTCCCTCGTCATCAGCGGCCTCACCACCATCCTCAAAAATGTCAACAACATGGTGAGTGTGCGAGCAGGACACCCTGCAGCTCTACCCGGGTTGCATGACCTCAGGGTCACACTGGTGTGTAGACGACTCTGCTCGTTTACATACAGAAATCATGTTGAGATAATGTAAACAAATGCTTTCATGTTATTTATTGTAATGATCACGTTGCACAGTCTCTCAGCTCTTGTTTCTCAACCCTCGTTTCTAAGCTCAGCTCTCGTCTCTCGACCCTCGTCTCCCAGGTCTCGTCTCTCAGCTCTCTCGTCTCTCAGCTCACTCGTCTCTCAGCTCTCTTGTCTCTCAGCTCTCTTGTCTCTCAGCTCTCGTCTCTCAGCTCTCTCGTCTCTTTCAGCTCTGTCTCTCAGCTCTCTCGTCTCTCTCAGGTCTGTCTCTCAGCTCTCTCGTCTCTTGTCTCCCGTCTCTCGTCTCTCAGCTCTCTCATCTCTTGTCTCTCAGCTCTGTCTCTCAGCTCTCGTCTCTCATCTCTTGTCTCTCAGCTCTGTCTCTCAGCTCGCTCGTCTCTCAGCTCGCTTCTCTTGTCTCTCAGCTCTTGTCACTCAGCTCTCTCGTCTCTCGTCTCTCAGCTCTCGTCTCTCGTCCCTTGTCTCTCGTCTCTCATCTCTCAGCTCTCATCTCTCAGCTCTCATCTCTCAGCTGTCTCGTCCCTCAGCTCTCTCATCTCTCATCTCTCTCGTCTCTCAGCTCTCGTCTCTCAGCTCTCAGCTCTCATCTCTCATCTCTCAGCTCTCTCGTCTCTCAGCTCTCTCGTCTCTCAGCTCTCGTCTCTCAGTTTTTTCGTCTCTCAGCTCAGAGCTCTCGTCTCTCAGCTCTCTCGTCTCTCAGCTCTCTCGTCTCTCAGCTCTTGTCTCTCAGTTTTTTCGTCTCTCAGCTCAGAGCTCTTGTCTCTCAGCTCTCATCTCTCGTCTCTCAGCTCTCTCGTCTCTCAGCTCTCTCGTCTCTCAGCTCTCTCGTCTCTCAGCTCTCGTCTCTCAGCTCTCTCGTCTCTCAGCTCTCGTCTCTCAGCTCTCAGCTCTCTCGTCTCTCAGCTCTCAGCTCTCTCGTCTCTCAGCTCTCTCATCTCTCAGCTCTCTTGTCTCTCAGCTCTCGTCTCTCAGCTCTCTCGTCTCTTTCAGCTCTGTCTCTCAGCTCTCTCGTCTCTCTCAGCTCTGTCTCTCAGCTCTCTCGTCTCTTGTCTCTCGTCTCTCGTCTCTCAGCTCTCTCATCTCTTGTCTCTCATCTCTTGTCTCTCAGCTCTGTCTCTCAGCTCTCTCGTCTCTCTCAGCTCTGTCTCTCAGCTCTCTCGTCTCTTGTCTCTCGTCTCTCGTCTCTCAGCTCTCTCATCTCTTGTCTCTCAGCTCTTGTCTCTCAGCTGTCTCATCTCTCAGCTCCCTCGTCTCTCAGCTCTCTTGTCACTCAGCTCTCTCATCTCTCAGCTCTCTCGTCTCTCAGCTCTCTCGTCTCTCGTCTCTCAGCTCTCAGCTCTCGTCTCTCGTCCCTTGTCTCTCGCCTCTCAGCTCTCAGCTCTCATCTCTCAGCTCTCATCTCTCAGCTGTCTCGTCTCTTTCAGCTCTGTCTCTCAGCTCTCTCGTCTCTCTCAGCTCTGTCTCTCAGCTCTCTCGTCTCTTGTCTCTCGTCTCTCGTCTCTCAGCTCTCTCATCTCTTGTCTCTCAGCTCTCGTCTCTCATCTCTTGTCTCTCAGCTCTGTCTCTCAGCTCTCTCGTCTCTCAGCTCGCTTCTCTTGTCTCTCAGCTCTTGTCTCTCAGCTGTCTCATCTCTCAGCTCCCTCGTCTCTCAGCTCTCTTGTCACTCAGCTCTCTCATCTCTCAGCTCTCTCGTCTCTCAGCTCTCTCGTCTCTCAGCTCTCGTCTCTCGTCCCTTGTCTCTCGCCTCTCAGCTCTCAGCTCTCATCTCTCAGCTCTCATCTCTCAGCTGTCTCGTCCCTCAGCTCTCTCATCTCTCATCTCTCTCGTCTCTCAGCTCTCGTCTCTCAGCTTTCGTCTCTCAGCTCTCTCGTCTCTCAGCTCTCTCGTCTCTCAGCTCTCGTCTCTCAGCTCTCTCGTCTCTCAGCTCTCTCGTCTCTCAGCTCTCTCGTCTCTCAGCTCTCGTCTCTCAGCTCTCTCGTTTCTCAGCTCTCTCGTCTCTCAGCTCTCTCGTCTCTCAGTTTTCTCGTCTCTCAGCTCTCGTCTCTCAGCTCTCAGCTCTCGTCTCTCAGCTCTCGTCTCTCAGCTCTCGTCTCTCAGCTCTCGTCTCTCATCTCTTGTCTGTCAGCTCTCGTCTCTCAGCTCTATTGTCTCTCATCTCTCGTCTCTCAGCTCTCTTGTCTCTCAGCTCTCGTCCCTTGTCTCTCGTCTTTCATCTCTCAGCTCTCATCTCTCTCAGCTCTCAGCTCTCTCGTCTCTCAGCTCTCGTCTCTCAGCTCTCTTGTCTCTCAGCTCTCAGCTCTCGTCCCTTGTCTCTCGTCTCTCAGCTCTCAACTCTCATCTCTCATCTCTCTCGTCTCTCAGCTCTCGTCTCTCAGCTCTCTCGTCTCTCAGCTCTCGTCTCTCAGTTTTTTCGTCTCTCAGCTCTGAGCTCTTGTCTCTCAGCTCTCGTCTCTCGTCTCTCAGCTTTCTCGTCTCTCAGCTGTCTCGTCTCTCAGCTCTCGTCTCTCAGTTTTCTCGTCTCTCAGCTCTCGTCTCTCAGCTCTCGTCTCCCAGCTCTCGTCTCTCGTCTCTCGTCTCTCATCTCTCGTCTCTCAGCTCTCTCGTCTCTCAGTTTTCTCGTCTCTCAGCTCTCGTCTCTCAGCTCTCGTCTCTCAGCTCTCAGCTCTCTCGTCTCTCAGCTCTCTCATCTCTCAGCTCTCTCGTCTCTCAGCTCTCTCGTCACTCAGCTCTCTCGTCTCTCAGCTCTATCATCTCTCAGCTCTCTCGTCTTTCAGCTCTATCGTCTCTCAGTTCTCTCGTCTCTCAGCTCTCTCGTCTCTCAGCTCTCGTCTCTCGTCCCTTGTCTCTCGCCTCTCAGCTCTCAGCTCTCAGCTCTCATCTCTCAGCTCTCATCTCTCAGCTGTCTCGTCTCTTTCAGCTCTGTCTCTCAGCTCTCTCGTCTCTCTCAGCTCTGTCTCTCAGCTCTCTCGTCTCTTGTCTCTCGTCTCTCGTCTCTCAGCTCTCTCATCTCTTGTCTCTCAGCTCTCGTCTCTCATCTCTTGTCTCTCAGCTCTGTCTCTCAGCTCTCTCGTCTCTCAGCTCGCTTCTCTTGTCTCTCAGCTCTTGTCTCTCAGCTGTCTCATCTCTCAGCTCCCTCGTCTCTCAGCTCTCTTGTCACTCAGCTCTCTCATCTCTCAGCTCTCTCGTCTCTCAGCTCTCTCGTCTCTCAGCTCTCGTCTCTCGTCCCTTGTCTCTCGCCTCTCAGCTCTCAGCTCTCATCTCTCAGCTCTCATCTCTCAGCTGTCTCGTCCCTCAGCTCTCTCATCTCTCATCTCTCTCGTCTCTCAGCTCTCGTCTCTCAGCTTTCGTCTCTCAGCTCTCTCGTCTCTCAGCTCTCTCGTCTCTCAGCTCGTCTCTCAGCTCTCTCGTCTCTCAGCTCTCTCGTCTCTCAGCTCTCTCGTCTCTCAGCTCTCGTCTCTCAGCTCTCTCGTTTCTCAGCTCTCTCGTCTCTCAGCTCTCTCGTCTCTCAGTTTTCTCGTCTCTCAGCTCTCGTCTCTCAGCTCTCAGCTCTCGTCTCTCAGCTCTCGTCTCTCAGCTCTCGTCTCTCAGCTCTCGTCTCTCATCTCTTGTCTGTAGCTCTCGTCTCTCAGCTCTATTGTCTCTCATCTCTCGTCTCTCAGCTCTCTTGTCTCTCAGCTCTCGTCCCTTGTCTCTCGTCTTTCATCTCTCAGCTCTCATCTCTCTCAGCTCTCAGCTCTCTCGTCTCTCAGCTCTCGTCTCTCAGCTCTCTTGTCTCTCAGCTCTCAGCTCTCGTCCCTTGTCTCTCGTCTCTCAGCTCTCAACTCTCATCTCTCATCTCTCTCGTCTCTCAGCTCTCGTCTCTCAGCTCTCTCGTCTCTCAGCTCTCGTCTCTCAGTTTTTTCGTCTCTCAGCTCTGAGCTCTTGTCTCTCAGCTCTCGTCTCTCGTCTCTCAGCTTTCTCGTCTCTCAGCTGTCTCGTCTCTCAGCTCTCGTCTCTCAGTTTTCTCGTCTCTCAGCTCTCGTCTCTCAGCTTCGTCTCCCAGCTCTCGTCTCTCGTCTCTCGTCTCTCATCTCTCGTCTCTCAGCTCTCTCGTCTCTCAGTTTTCTCGTCTCTCAGCTCTCGTCTCTCAGCTCTCGTCTCTCAGCTCTCAGCTCTCTCGTCTCTCAGCTCTCTCATCTCTCAGCTCTCTCGTCTCTCAGCTCTCTCGTCACTCAGCTCTCTCGTCTCTCAGCTCTATCATCTCTCAGCTCTCTCGTCTTTCAGCTCTATCGTCTCTCAGTTCTCTCGTCTCTCAGCTCTCTCGTCTCTCAGCTCTCGTCTCTCGTCTCTCGTCCCTTGTCTCTCATCTCTCAGCTCTCATCTCTCAGCTGTCTCGTCCCTCAGCTCTCTCGTCTCTCAGCTGTCATCTCTCAGCTCTCGCGTCTCTCAGCTCTCGTCTCTCAGCTCTCATCTCTCAGCTCTCGTCTCTCAGCTCTCAGCTCTCGTCTCACAGTTTTCTCGTCTCTCAGCTCTCTCATCTCTCAGCTCTCGTCTCTCGTCTCTCAGTTTTTCTCGTCTCTCAGCTCTCATCTCTCAGCTGTCATCTCTCAGCTTCGCGTCTCTCAGCTCTCGTCTCTCAGCTCTCTCGTGTCTCAGCTCTCGTCTCTCAGTTTTTTCGTCTCTCAGCTCTCGTCTCTCAGCTCTCGCCTCTCAGCTCTCTCTTCTCTCAGCTCTCGTCTCACAGTTTTCTCGTCTCTCAGCTCTCTCGTCTCTCAGCTCTCGTCTCTCGTCTCTCAGTTTTCTCGTCTCTCAGCTCTCGTCTCTCAGCTCTCGTCTTCCAGCTCTCAGCTCTCGTCTCTCGTCTCTCAGCTCTCTCGTCTCTCAGTTTTCTCGTCTCTCAGCTCTCGTCTCTCAGCTCTCGTCTCTCAGCTCTCTTGTCTCTCGTCTCTCATCTCTCGTCTCTCAGCTCTCTCGTCTCTCAGTGCTCTCGTCTCTCAGTTTTCTCGTCTCTCGTCTCTCAGCTCTCGTCTCTCAGCTCTCTTGTCTCTCTCAGCTCTCGTCTCTCAGTTTTTTCGTCTCTCGTCTCTCAGTTTTCTCGTCTCTCAGCTCTCT